TCCCATGCCCTGGGCCTGAAGTCAGAAAGTCCCACCCATCCCCAGGGAGCTGAAGGGCCCCTCAGCCCATTTGGGCACTACAAGGAGGGGCAGGAGGGCGCTGGAGGAAGCCAGCCCAGAGTCGCCCCAGGAGAAGGGCTCAGGCGCTCTGCCCTTCTCCTCGCTCTCAGGAAAGGCGGGAAGAAAGGAACGAAGAACCCCCAGGATGACACTAAACACCCAGCAGGAGGCCAAGACGCCCCTGCGCCGCCGAGCCAGCACGCCACTGCATCTGTCCCCGCGGGCCCACCAGCCTGGCCTCCTGTGGCCCGAGCCCTCTGCGAAATCCCAGCATGCACCGCTGGGACAGTCCGTCTCCCTCAACCCCCCTGCTCGGACCCCTTCGCCGGGGCCCAGCAGTTGGTCCTCGGAATCCAGCGACTCAGACGCTTCCTGGGAGGCCTTCTACCGCGTGGTGCTGCTCGGCGACCCTGGGGTCGGGAAGACCAGCCTGGCCAGCCTCTTTGCCGAGAAGCAAGATCGGGACCTGCAGGAACAGCTGGGAGGTAGGGGCCCTGTGGGCTGGGCTGCTGGCTGCGCTGTGGCCAGGACACAGAAGCTGCCCAGCACAGCTGTCCACGCCCTGCACCGCTCAGCTCAGCTGGGTGGGGTGTAATGCACACAGATTATGACTCGAGTGGTACTCCCCAGAGTTGTGCAGGGCACCGCCCACACTGTGCCCCAGGGCATGGAAAGTCCTGGAATAGTGGGTGTGGGTGACAATTTATAGTGGATAACGGGCATCGGATTCATTTTCTATCGTCATGAACGGAGCAAGACTGAGTTCCACAAGTCTCTTGAGTGTCGGCAATGGTGGACTTCCACCCAGCTCAGGAATTCTCAGGCCAGATCCCAGCCCTATTGAGGCCCATCCATGGCCACCAAGGCCTGCAGCAAGGCTGAACTGAGAGGAGAAGACACTGTCAGGCTCCCAAGCTTGGGACCTGGGGTCCTTTATGCCCAAGGAAAGCGGTGAGCTGACAGGGTGACAGGGCACAGGGACCTAAGGAAATGAAGGCAGGTACCTGCAGAACAGGCTGCAAGCAGAGTGAGGCAGGAAGAACAGAGAGAAGGCCGGGGCAGGCTCCAGCAGGCCCTCGTGAGCAGTATGCGTGTGCACACCTGTATGTGTGGCAGGCAGGGAGACGGAGGCTCACAGACAGTGGAATGGTCTTCCTACAGCACACAACCCCAGGCAGAGCAGGCTTAAGAGCCCTGGTGGCCTAGTGGGTTATGCGTTGGGCTGCTAACCTCAAAGTCAGTGATTCAAAACTACCAGCCGATCCAAGAGAGAAAGATGAGACTTTCTACTCCAGTAAGAGTTTACAGCCTCAGAAACCCACAGAGGTAGGTCTACCCTGGTTTATAGGGTGGCTAGGAGTTGCCATGGACTCAGTGGCACCCATCACATCACACCCTTCATTTACTCAACTAAGCCAACAAAAGTCTTCCAAGTGTCTATCTGCGAGGGACTGTGCGAGTAGCTGGGGAGACACAGGTTCCCCACCAGGCAGAGGAGATGCCTCCCCAAGCCTCCTCCCTCCCTGAGAGCCGGCTCTTCCCTCACTTACAGAAAACGTCTACGAGAGGACCCTCACAGTGGATGGGGAGGACACCACGCTGGTGGTTGTGGACACCTGGGAGGCTGAAAACCTGGTATGGCCCAGGGCAGGCAAGCTACCATGCCGAGTATCTGATGTATGTCCTCCTGGGATGCTACAGACCACGGATGGGGTGGGGGGCTACCTTCAGCACTCCCTAAAGCCCATGGCTCCTACGGAGCTTTCCACCCAAGGAAAGAAGAACCTCATGACTGTGACCCCCTTTTCTAACCCTACCCGTCCCCTCCCTGTGACCCTGCCAGCCTGTGCACACCCCTCTTCTTCTTGCCCCCTCCTCCCGCCTGACCCACCTACATTGCACAGAGGAAGGAACACTGGATTTGGCACCCAAACGCCTGAGATGCAACCCCTTCCTTTGCCTCTCCAGCATTTACCTTTGTCTCACTGACGAGCTCACCCTGGGCTTCGGGTTTTTCTCTTCTTATCTGATAAATGGGTCATCATTCCTGCCTGCCTTCTCAAGTGGTTTCCCACCACTCTCGTGGGATTTCAGTCAAGGGAGCAGTGTAGAGATGAAAAATTAGAGTCGTGCCATAAAGAGATGCAATAATTATAATAATAAAGAGTAGTCATACAGTAATATGACACTAGTCATTATAGTTAGAATTGTTATGACATAATTATGATGTGGCACCTGTGTTGGCTTTAGAAGTTTCAGGAGCTACCACTAAGCAAAGAGAAGGCTGTAATATTCATTGGGGACCCCGACTCTCCTAATGCCCAGGGATGCCTGCCCACAGGGTGGGACTCAGGAGGACAGTGCTGGTGACTGACAAGAAGAGCTGTCTGCTCCAGTGACAGACGCAGAGGAGGAGCGAAGAGCCATGTGGCCGAGTCCTTCTCAAAAGCATAACCAGGGACTCGGGTCCAGACGAGAACCATCACGCGCCGGCGAGTCTGGACAGATCTTCGGACACCCAGTCCAAACAAAAACAACACCGGGAGGGCTTTCATACCCCTCATTCCCCGTCGACCGGCGAGGAGGCTGGCGGTCAGACCAGAAACCAAATCCATCACCATCAAGTCAACCCCAACTCCCGGTGACCCCACTTAGGCACTGGGACTATCCCACCCTACCTACCCCCTTTGTGGGCGCCACCCTGAGAGCTTCCCACAGAGCTGTCACTGCATCAATCCTCGTGGATTAAGAAACACTGGCTGAGTGTCCATGTCCTGGACCAGGAGGGCCTACATACACAAGGGCAGCCTCATCGGAACAGCGTCCTTTCCATCCCGAGCCAGAGGAATCCTTTGATCTCCAAGAGGCAGAATCTGGCCAAGTGGGTGGGCCTTTGTTTGGTTCCTCCCAGAGTGCCCTCGCCTGGGTCACCATCAGGATCACCTGAGAAGGGCAGTGTTAACATTCTCAGACTCTGCCGCAGAACTCAGGAAAGACAACCTCTGAAAGCAGGATCTTGGAATCTCTGTCTAATCCCAATCCAAGGAGACTCTTACCCGCTCATTCATGCATCAGTGGGCTTTTGTGTAGAGAACCCACCATGCTGCATACAGGAAAGCTGAGGCCCCAGAAGGAGTAAGAAGTCTGTCCTTCATCAAATGCATCCGGAATGAGAGTGGTGTCTGTCTTCAGCCCAAGGTTCTTGGACCTGTGGAAGGATGGATATGGTTGTTGGCGTTATCTCTGACAATGATGTTGACCGTGATACAATCTGATCATTTCATAGGCCTGTTGCTTATTAGATTATTAGAAAACGCTCCTGGCTTCTTCGACACTCAGGCCCAATGCTTCTACCACTCTTGGGTGACACAAGGGAAACCTTAGCTCTGGCTAAGAACGTTGCGGAGGGATCTCTTCTTTCCTGTGGAGCAGCTCATGCTTTCAAATCTAACCCTAGTCCACTGTGTGGCTCCTGCACTTTGCTAAGTGGACTCCCCTCCCCATGCTCTTGACTCCCCCAACCACTTGCCTCGAACTTCTGAATCTGCTGGTCACTCTTGGTGGGACTTATCACTTGACAATGCTCCATTCCCATGGCTTCTAGACAAACAGAGCTTTTGCTGTCGGGACAGGACCCGTGTCTCGTGAAACACATACAAAGCTCTTCCCCAAGGGCCCAATCTCAGCGTGCTTTCCCTGCTGAGAGATTACCAAGTCCAACAAAATCTCAAAATGACTCAAGTTCTTTCTTTGCATTAAATAGCTGGAAAGGACCCCACTTCTTAAAACGCCCCCTTGCCTCTGCCCTTGGAATAGCAGCCGTGGAATACATGCCACGGAGACCCTTTCACCCCTCCCCACAACGCCCCTGGAAAATGCTTCCCCCTGAAGCCTCCCAGCCTCCCTTCTCTCCCTTCCTCTTTTCTATTCATCCCGGATCCCAGAGGCCAATACAGGGCAGGGCTGTCCTCAGAAGCCAGGCAGAGGAAGTGAGCAGATAGAGCCTGACACCTCCCTAGCAGGCGGGTCGGCAGGGACACAGTAAACCTCTCCTCCTCAGCACTCAGCCCGCAGGAGGGATGACAGATTGGGACAGGTGAATGCAGTGGAACGTGAATTGGCCAGTTGATCAAGCAGAGAAACTGAGGCTCAGAGAGGTGGCCCTGGGAATGGCAGCACAATGGGTCCCCCCAGTGTTCCAAGGTTAATAAGCCTTAACCTATCCCCTCCAGCCCCACCTTCCCCAGCCCAAGGGACTAGCTCTGCTCCTCTGAGGAGATGGCCTGGGGTCCCCCCTCCACAGGGTGACAGCTGGAGCCACGAGTTGTGCCTGCAGGTGGGCAGCGCCTATGTCATCGTGTACTCCATCGCCGACCGGGGCAGCTTCGAGAGCGCCTCCGAGCTCCGCATTCAGCTGCGGCGCACGCACCAGGCAGACCACGTGCCCATCATCCTTGTGGGCAACAAAGCAGATCTGGCGCGCTGTCGGGAAGTCTCTGTGGAAGGTGAGTCTTCACCCCCAATCACCATCCTCCCCTGTTGTCCTCAAAGGCCTGTTGTCACTGCTCTTCCTCCAGGACTTTCCACCGCAGTGCCTGGGGCCCCTGACCACGTGGATAATGACTTCATATGAGTCTTGCATCTGTGTGCCTAAGCCTGAAATCAAGGCACTATTTCTGTCTATACACACACACACACAAATCCAGTACCAAAGCCCTGTCAGATCCATGTAACTCTTAACCCCATGTTCCCCTCTCTCTGTGCCCACCACCTGTGCCCTCCCCTGATACCTCTTTAGGCAGGCCAGTCCTCTAGCCAGGCCAGCCCCCATCCCCTCTGCCACCTGCCAGGGTTTTCCAAAAGCACATATGACCTTGCCACTCCTGTCCTGAAAGAAAAAAAGAAATCATCTCTCGCTCTCCCACGCCCTTGGTTAGAAACTCTTTATCCACTAGGCATGATAGGTCCAGTGCCTGCAGGCTTTTCAAGGACTTACATTTGAGACCTATGGTGGGGGTGAGGAGGGGATGGGGGCAAGAGTCATGGACTTCAAAATACATTTTTTTGTAAGTATCAATTCAAATTCCACAAAGCTTTCGTTATCTAAAAAGGGTAATGTTGAGTCAACCCACCGCTGCAGACCAACACTTGTAAAGTTATATTTTTAAAAATTGTATTGGAAAGCAGGATGGGAGCAACTTTAATATGTTTGGAGTCAGGTGGAAGTCATAAAGATCTTCAAATAGCCACAGAGTAACATCTAAGCCAACAGTTCTCCAAGTTTAACCAGCTCCATAATTAGTACAAACCCGACCCGTTTGCAAATTGGAAAAGTGATGACCACAGAGGGGAAGCCATTTCTACAAGGTCACCAGCCAGTAAGGACTAGATGCCGAGAGCTTGTCTCTCATCCCAGTGGCATCCCGGAGTCAGAAGGCCACATACTTAGTGGGCTGTGGTTGTTGTTGTTGTTGCTGCTGCTAACTGCTCTCAGGCCAGTCCCTGTCCAGGGCTATCCTGTGTCTAATGAAGTCAGGCAATTGTGAGCCATAAGGTTTGTGGAGAGAGGTCACCCTCACTTTTTATGTGAATTAAGTGAAGGTTCACAAGGAGACAGTGGTTTCACATCAACAAGTTCATATACACCCTGATTCAAGTCATCATTACATTCACTTCCAAGTACCATCGCTGATCCCAATTTCCCCCTGTCTTTCCTATTCCCATTTCTCCTCCTTTCCTAGCCCTCCGAATTTTGTCTTTGGTTAAATGTTGCCCTTTTGATCTGAACTCGTTCATTATCCTAATATGAAGGTGAACTGGAGTCCAGAAATCAAGGGCATAGGCCATACTCTTGGGGGTCCTGCCAGTCTCTATCCAACCAGTAAGCCTGGTCTTTCTTATGGTTTTGAGTTTGTTCCACATTTCCTCCTGTGCTATCCAGAACCATTTAATGTGATCCCTTCCAGAGCAGTTGGTGGTGGTAGCCGGGCACCATCTAGTTCTTCTTGTCTCAGGGTCATGGAGACTGATGTTTGCAGGGCTCCTTAGTCCATGTGGACTCGTTATTTCCATGCATGCTCTAAGACCTGATCCACAGGGCTTTTATTGACTGATTTGGTAGAATAGATTCCCAGGCTTTTCTTCCTAGTGCCTTTAGTCTGGGAGCTCCACTGACGCCTATTCAGCAACATAGTAACACACAAGCCAGACAGATGGTGGCTGTGCTTGGGATGCATTGGCTGGAAATCGAATCTGCCTGGGAGATAAAAGATTCTACCACTGAACCACATGGAGTCCCTATTCATGGTGAGCAGCCATCACCAAAAAACGCTGCGATGTCCTCACCAAAAGCTTTTGCTGAGATGCAGGTTCCAAAGCTGGCTTACCCAATGTCATTTTCCCATGTGAAAATGTTCACTACAAATTAGGTAGACCCGTACTTAACCTTGCTTACTGGCTACTCCATCCCTGTTAGGGACTGTAAGTCTTAAAAAGAGGCTTTGATGCTGTAGGAAGGTACTATGGGGTTGGAGGAGAGGCAGGTGCCAGCCAAACCTAGTGGCAGAATCTTTGACACGGTGGGGAAAAGGTGGAATTGTTCACCACGGGTCAGTAAGTAAACCCAGGTTTGATCTTGCTAATTGGGTAGCCCAGCCCTGATTGGGTAATCTAACATACTGGATGAAGTGGACCCAGGAATCTACATTTTAAGGAGCTTCCCCTAGGGAATTCTGGGGAAACGCATAGCGTTCAAGACCCTTCCCTATGGGGTCCCCTCCTCATTGTGCTGCCCCAGAGGGGAATCCCACACACCCTTCTAGGAGCAGTTGAAGTACCAGTCACAAGTCTCTGGGAACTGACTCCTCAATGTGTGTTGGATTTATCTCTGAGCACCCCGACCCTCACCCAAGGCCTACGGAACACAGACCGTAGTGCTGGAGTTGAAACTGACTGTATCTTCCCTTCTACCTATTTTTTTTGCCTCCCGCCCCGCCCACCTGGCCCCGCCCACCTGGCCCCGCCCCGCCCAGAGGGCCGCGCCTGCGCCGTGGTGTTCGACTGCAAGTTCATCGAGACGTCAGCCGCGCTGCAGCACAACGTGGCCGAGCTCTTCGAGGGCGTGGTGCGGCAACTGCGCCTGCGCCGCCGCGGCAGCTCCACTCCCGAGCCCGCCGCGCCCCGACGGCGGGCCAGTCTCGGCCAGCGCGCCCGCCGCTTCCTGGCCCGGCTGACCGCCCGCGGCGCCCGGCGCCGGGCACTCAAGGCCCGCTCCAAGTCCTGCCACAACCTGGCCGTGCTCTGAGCCCGACCGAGACACGGGGCGCATCCTGGGCTCCGTAGAGGCCTTCAGGACCCAAAAGCGTGGTGGCACGGAGACTCCTCGTGGGCCTGCGCCGTTCTTGCAACCTCAGGGACGACCCCTGAATGGAGAGCGATTGGACAGAGGAGGGCACCGAAGCCCCAGGTGGAGCACAGAGTAGGGGGTTTCGTTTTGGTTCGTCTTAACGTGGTGGGTAGCTTTTGTAGAAATCTTGCTTCTCCGTGGATTCTTTCTCACCTTCAGAAACCTCCACCATAAATCAGAACCCAAGGACAGCCCTGACTGACTGCCCAAGGAACTCCTAGGGCATCTCCACCCCCTGACCTCTCACCCCCCTTTTCACTGGCTGCAGGCAGGTTTGGCCAGCGCTCTGAATGTCAGGTTCAGTCAATAAAGTAATTAGACCCATTGTGTGCTCAGCCCTTCCCCAACCCCAACCCCAACCCCAACCCCAACCTTGGGTACAGGGTACATAATTCAGGATCCCTGGCCCCCATCGGAAAGAGAGCCTCCTCTGCCCTCAACTCCATTCTGACTTCCAGCATCCCATTTAACCGGGTAGACCTGTCCAAGGCTGTTGAGTGTCCGGTGGGTTCCACGGACCTTTCTGTTCACAGCCCAATGTTAACCCACTACCAGGGCTCTCCACAGAGACACCCCCACCCCACCCCAAAAAAACAAGCCCACTGTCACACAGTCCATTCCAACTCAGAGTGACCTTAGAAGACAGAATAGCCTGGCTCCAGAGGCTTTCCAAGACTAAGCCTTGACATCTCCCCCCCACCCCCCCAA